AGATGGCCGCTTGTTTATCTTCAAGCCTTTAAGACCCCAGACACTATATCTTTTGATAGCCGGGCACCATCAGCTTTCTTCACATTTGCTTATACACCCATTTGTCTTCAGCAATCATGTCAGGAAGGGGAGCATCACAGAATGCTGGATTGTTAAAACAAAGTGTTCTTGTGTTAAGGGAGTACTTGAGTTGTGGCTGCTCAATGTCCACCTGCTACCTTAATTCTTCACATATAGATATGGGTACATAGTTCTATTCCCCTCTTGTTATATATATATATTTACATATGTACATGCATATTTAGGCCTCTATAAATGTCCTTTGCCTCCTGGTTATTCCTATTTCCTTTTACTTTCCTCTTGTCTCACCATCATGTTTGGCCTTCATTGGGGTTTAGTAATTCCTCGCTGCTACATTGCCCTTGATTAAGCCCTACTAGGCAACCTGTGGCCTTCCTTCCATTGATTTTAGTTCACTTGTTGTTCCCTTGTCTCTGGGTTGGTCTGCACCCCCTTCTTTCTCCCACCTCCCCTTCTCCCATATCCCCCAGAACCATTGGTCATGTTCTTTTCATCTCTGAATTATTTATCCCACCTACCTTATCTAGATAGACATGCAGAGACATTAATAAGTGCAAAAACTAGGCAAAGCCAAACAAAACAACAAAGGAAGTCAAAACCCACGAAACAATAACAACCAAAACCAAAAACAAAATAACACCAACAAAAAGAAAGCCACTAACAAAAATGGAACCGCCTGTAAATAGTTCAAGGTCTGTTTGTTGGTCTTCACGAGTGTTTTCCAGTCGAGTCTGATGGGGTGCCACACTCTGTCTCCCAAGTCTATTTTTGGTATTCCTGGGGGTTCATCATTCTTCTCCCCCTGCTGCTCTGCTGCATGCCCTCGGTGCCTCGCCCCAGCGTGATGGGGCCAGATCGTGCACTATGCCCGTACTGTGTCTCCAGTGCTGTCCCCCGAAGTGCCATGGTTCAGTGAGGGATGCTGTGTCCCGTGGTGGGGCCGGCCCTATGGTCTCCCCGGGCGTTGTCTGCTCTGAGCAGGACATCATCCTCGGGGCTTGGTGAGCCAGGATGTCCTCTCCTCCCTCTCCATCCTTTCGCGTTTCTCCCGTGTGCTCTAATCCGATGCGCCCCTCTCCCCAAGCTGTAGCCCAAGTGCTGTCCTGTTACTCAACTTTTTTGAGGTTAGCCTGTAATTTGTTAATTTCTTTACAATTTTTAAGCAGTCCTTTCCCCCATTTTTGTGAGGTTTTAATTTCTCATTTATTTTGTCAGTTTGCTCCAGTATTGTTTCTCTAAATCCTTCTGGAGTTTTGTCTGTGTTTTCCTTGACTTTGTTGTAGCTGACCTTTCTCTCGAGCCATTGAAAGCGCTACCTACCATCGTTCTTATTCCCACATCTGGCCGTTCCGACGCTATTGATTCCTCAGGGAGCCTTCTGGCTCCATCTTTTGGTCTCGGCTGGAGCCGCTCCATTGTGTTTCTTTGTGTGAACTCAGGTGGTCTGTTTCTCCCGGACTTGGTGGTAGTGCTGCATGTGTCCGTAATCGGTGAGTGAAGGTTGGGGCGTGTTTTCTGGTTGTGCTTTGCCTTGTGTGGGCTCCTATTATTATAAGTCTCTGTACTTTATCCAACCTTGGTCCATAACTTTCCCCACTGCAGTCCCATATCCTGCTAGCAAAAAAGCCAGTGCCTTAAAAAAACAAACCAAACAACTCTTTTGACTAATATCTTTAGCCCTGATGTCATAGCAGGTTACTTGTTGGGCTGCTCCCTCTAAGACCAGCAGCTCCAAACCCCCAGCAGTCACTCCTGGGGAGAAAGATGAGACTTGCTGCTCCCACCAAGATTGAGTCTTGGGACCCACAGGTGCAGTTCCCCTCTGCCCCGCAGGAGTACAGTGGATCAGATTGGACCCAGCGGCCACGTGCTTCCTCTTGGATTGACGCGCCCACAGCGGCCTTTGTCCCACAGAGGAGCCACAGGGCCAGCACAGCCCCGTGCGGTGGACTCCCTCCTCCGGAGGATGGGCCTCTGCCTCTCGGTTCCCTTTTCAGACGGGCTGAATGTTCTTCTCACACTATACTTGAGATTTGGGGTCCTTTTTGTACCCTAAAACAGAGCAAAATAATAAAATAATAATAATAATGTAAAGCGAGGTCATGTGCTCTGACGGAGATTGGTGGAACTCACATTGGAAAGCAGCCTGAGGCCCCCAGCCGACCTCCTCTGGTGGCCCTGTTGCACAGGCAGGGCTGAGACATGCCACCATGCTCCACCCTTCTTTACCGGGGTCTGACACCAGCTGCTGCTCTGATGACACCCCTATATTTTACGCTGGGCTCGTCCATTCACGGACATGGCCACACGGAGCTCACAGACACACGCACAGCCATGAGTGTTGATTAGAGAAGTTAACAGGTGGCCACAAGTCATAAACAGTAAAGATCCTGCCGCTGGTCCTCAGCTCGCAGCCACGTGCCCCCTGGGCTTCTCCCTCTGTGAGCCAGGAAGCCTGCCCACTGCATTGGCTCCTCTGTTCCAGCTCATGGTGGCCCGGGTCCTGCACTCTGTCCCGTGGTCTCCGTGCCACCTCCTCTGGCGCCTCCGCCACGCCGCGTCAGGCAGGGACCTTGAACGTGCTTCGCTGGTGGCTCTTCTTCAGAGGGGCCTGGACTTTCTATTTACACTCGTGCATCTGCAACGGCGTCTACACACAGAGACTTGACTTTGATGGAGATGCGGCAGCTGTTGGCTTTCAGCGGACCATGTCCTCGTGCAAACAAAGGGTAGGGACTTGGTTCACACCATCTACTGAGGTAGGGGCTTAGTCCCACCTTAATCCTGTCCAGGAGCATAGAGGAGAACTTCCTCCCAAATGAGGTGATCGCCACAGGCATCGAGACCAGAATGTATAACACATCACAGAAGGGACGTGTGCTTGGAAGGGCTACCTCTCACCCTGAGGTAGGTCCTTAGGAACCCTTCAGGCGTGCAGTGGAACTCACCGCCATGACTTGACTTCCCAACACACATCGATGCTTATTGGGTGAACGGTGGATAACACCAGGAAGGTGTCACTCCTTAGAGCACCCGACCAAAGGCGACCCAAAGGGCAGCGTTTGCCCAGGGATAAAGCTCCCGTGATGGATTATGTCAATCTGCTGCACAAGACCTCTTCAGAGTATTGAACACCGAGGATGTTACTTTGAGGACTAAGGTTGGACTGACCCAAGATACGGTATTTTCAATTGTCTCACGTGCATGTGAAAGTTGGAAAGTTGAGAGGGAGGGAGGGTAAATGAGGAGTTGATACCCAGGGCTCAAGTAGAAAGAAACTGTTTTGAGAATGATGGTGGCAACAAATGTACAAATGTGCTTGACACGGTGGATGGATGGATAGATTGTGATAAGAGCTGTGTGATCTCCCAATAAAATGATTAAAAAAAAGAAAGTTGGAAAGTTGGACACTGAATAAGGAGTCTCGAAGAAGAGTTGATCGGCTTGAATTGTGTGCCGACAAAGAACATTGAATGTACCAGAAAGGACAGACAAATCTCTCTCCTGGAAGGAGGACAGCCGGAGTGCTTCCTGAGGAGCACGGGTGGTGAGACTTGATCTCACGTCCTTGGACCACGTTGCCAGGAGAGAGCAGTCCCTGGAGAAGGACCTGGTAAGGCAGAGGGGCAGTGAAGGCGACGAGGGCCCTCTGGGAGAGCCTGACAGGGTGCCTGCAGCAACGAGCTCAGGAACAGCTGTGAGGACAGCGGAGGACTGGGCAGGGCGTCCGTCTGTCGTGCATGCGGTCATGCTGGTCGGAGCCGACTGGACAGCACCGAACAACACAACGACAACAAAGCTACCAGGGCAGGAAGGGTGAGGCAAGAAGGGCGGGTGGGAATGAGAATCCCGGGGAAGAAATGGGAGTACTGCTGTTACATGGTGGGATTGCAGTCGGAGCCACCCAACAAATGTCTGTGATTTGTCGAATGGAAAATCAATTTTGCTCTGTGAGCTTTCACCTAAATCACAATAAAAATTTCTTTTTTAAACAACAAGACTTCACATACATATGTATATTTAATTAGATACATAGATAAGCATACATATTTAATGGCAATACCGTGGGGAATAATATTTACTCTAGAACTTGAGATCAAAACTTGCTGTATAGTACAGCTACTATTTAGAGGAATATGGTTCCACAAGGACCCATTTTCCTTGCAGAAGATTAAAAGGGCACCAAACACACTGTTAGCTCACATACACACACAAACAGATACACTATATTACAGCTGTTAAATGCAGTGATTTCTAGGTAGAGTTTTGCCATTTCTAGTTGATGTAAGCAAGAAGCTTAAGTCATACATATACAGTGAAGAGATTTAAGGTGTCTTGTCAAAATAACCAGGCTGCCAATACCCCGTAGGTACATTGGAATGATCTGCTTTGATCCAAAACACTGTGGAGAGTTTGACTCCTGCATTTCTTTGTTGCAGCAACAAAGACCCCAATGTACGTGTGCTATGTGCGCCATGTCTAGAGATGCTCGACTTAGACAGATTTATGAACAGCCACAGAATGTCGCTGACATCTTTTATGCTGCCAAGCAATGGTGGAGGACACTTACCACGTTGTACAAACTGATGCACCAACGGTCAAAGATAATCTGCCCGGAAAACCCACTGAGGAAGGCGAACCAAAGCTGGAATAAAGGAGACAGCTTTCTGTCAGTGGTCACCGACGTATATCCTTTGTATCGTAGGACAAAACGAAGAGACACAGAGGCTGAACTTTTAGAGAATAAAAGTTTTGCCGGAGAATAGTTACCGAGAGCCATCCAAGCGTCCCTTCACAGATGATAGCTTTCCATCGCTACACGTTCCCGATCTTTTCTAAAATTTGCATGTAAGGGCCAATGGCATAGGAGAGTGAGGTGGTTTTTGAAAACAAACTGTAAAATGGTAGAAGTCACTCTACTCACTGCTAAGACAGCACAGTTACAGCCGTGGGGATAATTTGGTACTGGGGGAGGGGTCTTCCTGTGGCCCTACAGAAAATCTACCAAGATGGTCCCTTGGGAATTCCCAACCATAGTCGCCACTGTCTTCCGAGCTGACCCTCTCAGCCTTGAACTTACCTGGCACAGCCGATCCCCGACAGAAGCCCCCTTTTTTAAAGGCACCCTCATGAGACTAAGACCCACGTATTATCGAGAGAACTTGCCTGCAACCACCCACTGGTCACAGAGATCTGTCGAAGGACAAAGGGTCTAGCACAGCGTTTCTCACCCTGAGAGTCACAACCCCTTGAGGGGTCGAAGGACCCTTTCATAGGGATCGCCCGATTCTTCACAGTAGCAAAATGACAGTGATGAAGTAGCAACAAAAATCATGTTCTGGTTGGGGGTCACCACCACATGAGGAGCTGTGTAAAAGGGCTGCAGCTTGAGAGCTACTGGTCTAGAGTATTTCTTCTTGTTGTTGGGCGCCATTGGGTTTGTTCTGACTCACAGCGAACCTGCCCACGCAGCAGCGGGAAACACTGCCGGGTGCTGTGCCACCCTCACAAGCGTAGCTACGTGGGAGCCCATGGCTGCGGCCCCTGTGTCCATCCATCTCCTTGACGGTCTTCTCTACTTTCGCCAAGCACGATGGCCTTTTCTGGGGACTCTTCTGAGGACATGATCAGAGTACGTGAAACAAAGGCTTTCCATCCTTGCTTCTCAGGAGCATTCTAGCCGCATTTCTTCAAAGACAGAGTTTTACTTTTCGCTCTCTTGCCTGTGCCTGGACCTTTCAACATTCTTCACCAGCACCGTGATTCAGATGCACCCCATTCGTCTTTGGGCTTCCTGATTCCATGTCCGACCTTCACCTGCATCGGAGGACATTGGAAATGCCATGGCTTCCGTCAGGTGCACCTTACTCCTCAAACTCCCCTTCTTGAATGAGGTCTTGTGTAGCCAGCGTGCCGTCTGATCTCCAGGCGGCTGCTTCCATGCGCGTCGGCTGGATCCAAGCAAGATGAAACCCTTGACCACTTCAGTCTAGTCTGTTTAGCACGATGCTACCCACTGGTCCATGGTGAGGAGTTTTCTCCACAGAGGCGTAACCCACACGGAAGGTTGCAGTCCTTCATCTTCAACGGCCAGCGCCTCCGGTCCTCCTCGCTGTCAGCAAGCCAGGTTGTGGCACCTGCATGTCGTCGGTTGTTAATGAGCCTTCCTCCAATCCTGAGGCTGAATTGTTCTTCACAGAATCCGACTTCTCCAGATGGAATAAGGATGGGGTAAGGACACAAGCCTGACATACCCCTTCTTTATGTTTAAACCGTGTGGCATTTCCTTGTTCGATTTGTACAACTGCCCCGTGATCCAAAGATCTGTCTTGGAAGAAATGGAACTGAAATACTCCTTAGAGGTGAGGCGCATGACGTCGGTCTTGCTTACGTTGGACACAGCATCGTCTAGAAAATGACGTCATGTTTGGTGGCATACAACACCAGGGAAAATGGGGAAGACACACAAAGGGGAGGACTGACTGTCGACAGGGTGGCCATGGCTAGAGTGGACACAAGCCAACCGATGGTCATGGAGATAGAGCACAGACCAGGCCACCTGTGTGCTGCTTGTACGTGGAGTGCCATGCCCACCATGGACAAGAAATAGAAGGGTCCCGATACCGGGGGTGTTCAATCGCAGGAGGATCATGGGAAGGCAGAGATGAACTCCAATTGCAAATGATCTGCTTTTGCCACAGAGTGTATCAACCTGTCCCCATGATGTCCTAACCTTCTACTTGCCCACTGATAGGCGAGCAAACACTTAGAGCGGGAATAGGTAAGAGATATATGAGGGGAAAATTTTTTTTTTAACTACAGGGTCTGATATCCGAGAGAAGACCTAGCTTCTCAATGATGCAGCGTTTAGCTCCGGGCTTACCTCAATAACGTACAGCACCATGTTCTTGTAGAAAGAGTACAAGATGCACTTGGTCACGCGGATGTAATTCCAAGACCCGTGAACCAACAGAAGCTTCTGTAAGTAGCTAAACTGAAAGGCAGAACAACAGTTATTCCAAGTTCAAACTAGCTGCCCTTGAAGGGCACAAGCAGACCCAGCATGGGGATTTTCCCCATGTCCCGAGTCTGGCCATGCCCGAGCATCAAATGCAACGGAGAAGGCAAGTCAGTGAAACCAGCTCCACCGACAACTGACGTGAGAAACAGAGAGACAAAGAGACACCCTCGCCTAATACAGCTTCCAGTCACTGAATGGTACTCGATGGTTTCTGTGTTTTTCCAAGCCATCGTGTGCAAGGCTTTTGCTTTATTCTGATACACACTTAGGTCCTCAGTCTCCAGAAAGGGTCAAGGTGACTTACAAGAAGATCAGGTTGTATATGAACAGGAAATCCTAACAAAAGCAGGAAATTCAGGCTTGCTCAGTAATCATCCTAAAGGCTCAGATGAAGTTACTAAATCTTTTTTTTTAAATCATTTTATTGGGGGCTCTTACAGCTCTTATAACATTCCATACATCATTTTTAAAATTCATCGTTTTACTGAGGGGACTCTTACAAACCTTATCACAATCCATCATTCAGTTGTTTTAAGCACCCTTGTATATAAGTTGCCATCAACATTTCCCAAAACATTTTCTTTCTACTTGAGCCCTTGGTATCAGCTCCTCTTCCCCCACCCTCCCCCACCTTCCCATCCTCATGAACCATTGATCAATTATATATTATTGCTGCTATTCCATGTCTTACACTGTCCATTGTCTCCCTTCATCCACCTTTCTGTTATTCATCTCCCTCAGGGTGTGTGTGTGTGTGTGTGTGTGTGTGTTTTATATCCAACCTTGTGATAGGTTCACCCTTTCTCCCCCACCATTAAGATTCCATCTGCTATCTTAATACTTAACATATAAACATATGTACATTGGCCTCTATCTCATTCATTATAAATTAAGATATTTACATATATACATGACTTCGCTATACCTTTATAAATAGCTTTTGCCTCCTACTTCTTTCCTCTATTTCCTTTCACCTTCCTCTTGTCCCACTATCATGCTCACCCTCCATTCGGCTCTCAGTAATTCCTTTCGGCTATATTGCACTTGATCAAACCCCACCAGGCATCATACATCCCCCTTACCATCAATTTTAGATATCTTGTTGTTCCCTTATACCTGAGTTTGTTGGGCCCGCATTCCCCTTCCCCGCCTCCTTCTCCCCAATGTCCCCCCACCCACCGGACGGCTGGTCCCATCGTCTTCTTGGGATTGTTTGTCCTGCCGATCTTATGTGGATAGACATAGAACAAGAGAAAGAAAAAATATATAGATAATTGAGGTCTGTCTGCTGCCCCTTAGGAATGCTTTCCAATTGGGTCTGATGAGGTGCCAAGGCCTCTCCCCTGAGTCAGAAGGAACTACTTCTTAAAGGAATCCGTTCTTTCCCTGACATTTTATGTCTGCGTCTATGTGTGTATGTATTTAATACTCAAATTTTAATCTCCCATCACACTTCCGACCTCCTAGCATCAGGTGCACTTTGTGATTTGTTATGGTGATTGGTCTTTGTTTTGCCTTCCTTCCCTGAAGACAGAAGGTCAGGACTTAGCTGCCACGCGGTGGTGGCAGTCTGACTCCCATCAGAAGAAAGTTCTGGAAGCCCTACCGAGTGCCCTTCTACTCTAGCACGCAGGAAGTCACCCCGAGTCAGGGTCAGCTCGATGCCACTGGGCTTTCTCCCAGTCATGATCGGGACGGCAAATCTGAGCGGCCCCTGCGGCCCCTAGTCATGAGCTCCTTTGTGTTCATTCCCCAGCAGTTCTGTAAGAAATGCCCAGCCCTAAGAATGGGGATTTTCTTTAACAAGATCGTGGCAGCTTTGCCCGGGGAAGATGGAAAGTGAGGGATGGTGAGGGGCTGTTCTTGTGTTCAAGATGCATCCCTCTTTAAATGAAGAAACATCGGTGCCATTCTGGCGGGCACCTCGCATGGCTCGTGGCTGCTGGGTCAGAGGTGGCAGCAGAGGTGGCAGTTGTCACCTAGACAAACATAAACCCACAGCTACCGAGGTGATGCCAACTCAGGGAGAAACTACGGGACAGGGCTCCCTAGGCTTTCCAAGACTGTAAGTCTGTCTAGAAGTGTGGAGCCTCATCTTTCCGCCAGGGAGCAGCTGGTGAGTTTGAACCACTGACCTTGCATTTAGTAGACCGACAATTGACCTATGGCTCCTCGCCTGTGAACACACAGGGCTGTAATTCATGCATGGGCACCTACGCGAATGCAGGACTGTAAACCATGAAGCAAGCTGCCACCTGTTGGCAGGAGGCCCTCAGTGCCCGCCAGGGAGGGCACTCTGATCCGGAGCAACCCTCCAGGACAGAGTGGCGCTGACCCGTCGACTCGCTGAGACTGCAGCTCTTGACGCGAGCAGGCGGTTCCTCTTTCCCACGGAGGGTGGGTTTGAACCGCCATTCTTAGCACCCCAGTGCTCCTTTGAGGCCACACTGTCTTGAAGGATCGCAGACGACCGAGAGCCACACACATGGTGCAGATTTGAAGAGACTGGGGACTTGGAGATTTGTCGCGGTGGGTTACGCGTCGATGGACCCCACCTGTCATTGGGGGGGCCGGGGGGAGGGGGAGAGTGAAGAGGCAGTCCGCTCCCGTAGAGTCACCGTCATCGTCAACTCGACGGTGGCAGTTGTAGGCCGGTTAAAATGTAGCATTTTATCACTTCATTTCCCTTTTGACCCATTTTAAAGTTATTTCCATTTCAAAACTAAAAACAAGGCAGGGGAAAGACATGAGGACCAAGGCTCCAGTGAACCCCCTCCGGCCACCGACCAGGGATGGGAACAGCTGTGCCATCTGGCAGTGCGCGTTGGAAAGTGGACTCCTGTAGATGCGCCGGCCTTAAATTTAACACCTGATCATTCATCTCCCTTTTGACCCATTTTTAATTTGTTTTGTTCTAACATTTTCTGCTTTCTTTCCGTTAGGGTTTCCCTCTGGTTTACTTTGTTATTGTGGTTAGCTGGTTTTTGGGGGTTTGGGGGTGTGTGTTTTTTGGTAGATGAAATCCAGGTAGGTGATTCTAAGGAGACAGTAACTGGGTGAATGGTTTCGTGGGAGCGTGGCAGGGGAGGTTGTGGCACGTGGAGAACTCTTCACAATGAGTAGGAGAAAGTCGAAAATGTCCTAAAATTGACTGTGGTGATGATTGTGCAACTCTTCTTCATCTGATTGAATCAATGAATTGTATGATATGTGAATTATTAGCCAACGAAACTGCTAAAAAGAAGGAGAAAAAAAGTAATAGTCGGGGGAAACCCTACGGGCAGTTCTGTGCTGCCCTGTCCTCCACAGGCCCTCTGGGTCAGAATCCACCGTGTGGCAGGGAGAGCTAGCAGGGCGATGGCCGGGTCAGAGAAATGGTTCTCTCTCCTCGGTGTGGGAGAGAGAACTTGAGTCCAGTGCGTGGACAGGCTCACGCAGGAGCCCAGTTAGACTGGAGGGCCCGGCAAGGCCGGCCTGCCCCGTCCTCACCTGGGCGATGGCGTAGTCGGAGTTGTTGGTAGCCTGCATGCCCTCGTTCCCGCTGATGCCCACGCCCACGTGGGCAGTCTGGATCATGCCCACGTCGTTGGCCCCGTCGCCCACCGCGAGAGTAATCGCCTTTACGTGATGCTTGACCATGTTGACAATCTCAGCCTTCTGCAGGGGGGACAGCCTACGAGAGGACACAGAAACAAGCCCTTGTGGACGGTGTTGGTGCGTCATACCTCCCGTGGTTCGACCATCTTTACGGAGGAGTCAACGGTCACCGACGCCCTGCTGCCACCGTGGCTCCTAACTGCCCCTGGGGGGTGAGCTCCGACCCTTTGCTGGCACCACGGAGAAGAGAATCAGATGCCGCCCACCATGGCACCATCTTTATGATGGCCGGCGTGCTCAAGGCCGTGGTTCTGGCCCCTGAGCCGCATCCAGTCTTGGGCTCCTCGTCCAGCACTCTGTCAGGTGATATCTGTTCGGGGGTCCCCGGTTTTCTCTGGCGGAGTTCTGAACGCAGCTCGGGGTGTCTTTCTTCTTAGACTGGAGGTGCCGCTGACCCTTGTCCGCCGTACGTGGCATCCAGTGGGCTTGACATGGAGCCACATTTAAATAGCGGGTCTTCGATACGCTGGCAGGGTGGAGGACTCGCTACACTGGCCAAATTTAGCTAGGTTGATCAAGAAAAGAAGGAGGTCTATAGAGGTGAGAAATGGCAGACAAAGACTACAAACCACCCCCCTGCGGCAGGAGAGGAGGACCATGATGGCAGCAGTCAGCAGAACCGAGAGACTAAGGAAGGAGTGTGGTGGGGGAACTTGATGCCAACAGGTCGGAGAACGAGATTCAGCGGACATGTTGCTTGAAAGTCACACGTGACCGGAGCCGACTCAAGAAGTAGAACGTGTCTGCTAACGAAATTGAATTATCGATCAAAAGGCGGTCTTACAAAGAGAACACACGTCCTGGTCGGCTTCCACGATGCGATTGGTCAAACATTTCCCTAAACACCCAGCTCACTGCATGGAGTCGATGTTGACTCCTAGCGACCCCTGTGGGTTTCTGAGCTTCTGACTGCTTGGGGGAGTAGACAGCTCAGTCTTTCTCCTGTTGAGCATTTTAGAAAGCAATAATACCAATACCACAGAAACTGGTTTAAAAAAATAAAATATTTCTCTATTTATGCCATAAGGCCAGAATTCTATAAACACCGAAGCCTGTACAGTACAATGAAAGAAATAATACCGGGAGGATACCTTGAGTAGAATGTTAGTAGGGTAGATAGAAACATAAATTAAAGACAACATTTTAGAGCCGTAAAGAAACTTAGAGAGGTAGGCTGTCCTGCCCTGGCTGCCGTGGCCACTGTTAAATTGAACACCTTAGTCGATTGTGCACCAAACAGCTTCCCTCGTGGGAGAACGCAGCCCAGGGATGGACTTCACGTTTGGATTCACTTGTTCTTACTGTCCACTTCATGGGGCCATCTAAACTTACACAGTACATCAATGACCAAAACCTGTAAATGTGTATGCTTAGGTGTTTCGTGGGTAAACGGGAGACTGGGGATTCAACTCCACCCAGGGGCCTCCTGGAGAAAGAGCTGGTGACCCGTTTCCTGCGGGACGATCGGGAACACGATGGGGTTGTTCTACTCGGCTGCTGTGGAAAGGACCCAACACCATCCAGCAACCCGAAACCATCTCGAGGTGGCATTCACTGCAACTCAACGCCAAGAAAAGTAGGCTCCTCAGAGGCGGGGCAGGGACCGCCTCCTGCTCAGGAGCGGACAGCGCGACGTGGCCAAGGCTGTCATGTCCACGGGACTCACCATCCAGGCTCATGGCAGCAGCCGTCAAGGCCCTGGAGGATGTATCGCACTGGACAAATGTGCGACTCAAGATCTCCTTTAAAATGTTCGGGAGCAATGAGGTCACGTTGAGGACTGGGGGACCCCGGCTCAAGCCACCACCTTCCCCATCGCCCCACGGGCACGTGAACGTGGGACGATGAATCAGGAAGACTGGCGAAGAATGGGTGGGCGTGAACGACGGTGCTGGGGCAGAGTGCGGAGCGGACCGTGGACCACCAGAAGGACAAGCAAACCTGCCATGGAGCCGGAGTCTTCCTCAGAAGACAGGACGGGGGGAGAGGGGGGCACTGCACGTGACCAGGAGAGACCCGTCCCTGGAAAAGGGCACAACGCTTGGCCAAGTGGAGGAACAGCGAACAAGAAGAAGATCCCCAACACGATGGCCTTAGCACAGTGGCTGTAACAAGGGGCTCAGACACAGCAATGACTCTGAGAATGGGCGGGGCGGCGCGGTGATCTGTTCTGTTGTGCAGAGGTTGGCGACCAGTGAAAATGGCCCTGACAGCCCTTGTCAACAACAGCAGCGGCAGCATGGCTGTGCCGGGCCAGCAGGAGCTCTAGCCGACACTGGGGGCGGGTGGGAGAGTGTGGGGTCCCAGGAGTAGTTCTCCCGGTCATGTCTTCTCCACCTGCAGCCGCCTGGAGGCAGCGCGACTTCGGGTTTCCAATGACAGTTCATTCCCCCTTAGCCCTTAGTTTTTATTAACGGGCCGTGGATCGCTCCTTCCTTTTGGCTGTTCCGCATAAGCCTGCAGAGAGCCTTGGGGCACACGGATGCCAGGCCCTGCGTTGGGTTCTCGAGTCTGCTCCCAGTGGTGGCATTGCTGGGGCTGACCTGGGTATGAATTCACGATTTTCACGCTCACAACTCAGCGTTCTGGTGGAAGGCTCTATTGAGAGCATGAACGGTCAGGCCCAGGGAAGGACCGAGGTCGCCGTGCTTTTGTGGACGACAGTGAACGGACCACCCAACGGAGGAAGAGCAGGGAAGGGCCTCGGACGCCTCGCGTGTTGAGGAGCACGTTCCTAAGGATGTCTGGAAGTCAGAGGCATGATGTGCTCATAGTCCATCCATTTTAACCTTTTAAATAGCAGGGCACTCCTGTATACTGAGTTTTTTAATTGCTTCCTCAATGCCAGCCATCTTTAGGGGTACATTTTCTGCTCTTTATCAATATAATTTTTTGGACGTGCACGGATACTCCCAATTTCATTCTTCCTTAGGTGTCGATGGAGCTTTTGTTTTTGTTGTAGATTTGCCACTGATTATAAACCAAGCCCCGCCCACGCCCACGCCCCCCATTGAAGGCGTCTCTTGTCCTGTCATAGCTCAGTAAATAACTTACCATCAAAAATTTTACACGGCTTGCTAGTAAATCCTAACAATGACATCCAAGCTCTTTTCACTTCTTCTCGAGTGCCTATGTTCTCGGCAAGGAACGCGGGCTGTCACTACAAGGTAGGTTTTGTTTCCATGCCTGCGTTTTCTTTACCGGAGGGTAAGTGTTGGACCGCTAACCACCAGGCCGACAGTTCGGGTTGACCGATGGATCCTCTGCAGAAAGATGAGGTTGTCTGCTCATGTGGAGATGTACAGCCGCAGAAAGCTCAACACAGAGGCTCGCTGTGAGGGTTGCTGCTGTTCAACGCAGTGGCAATACGCTTCCTTTTGGGTTTAAACAGGACTAAAGATAGTGGTGGGGGTGGGAGACAAAAGAATCAGTATGCTCTTACCTACAACATAGTACTGTTTTACACGAGAGGGCTAAGGTTAGGAAGTTCTTCTTAATTTCAAAATGGAGAACATACTTCAAGGTTTCACCATCAACGATTAGGGCCAGGTCATTTTCTTGATATAACAAGGGTCCAAGATCGTTACAATTCTGGCCAATGGCTTCTTGTGCTGCCTGAAAGAGAGAAGCGGGTGGGGGGCGGGGAGGCTCTGCATCTTTCTCATTTTGAATAGCAGTCAGAACACTTCAGAATCAAGACGGTGAGCTGAGGCCATGTTGGAAACCACCCTGGACCAGGATTACAAACGCCTATCAGCCACGTGCAGTGATGTGTGGGGGGATGCAAACCAACACCAGAATGAGGGCTGCAAGAAACAAGGGTTGACGGGTGTGTGTGTGTGTGTGTGTGTGTGTGTGTGTGTGTGTAGAACTCTGCACCCTCCTGCACTGTTGTTGGGCATGTCTACACTGGGAAATGGTCAGGCTGGTCCTAAAATGACTGGACGTCAGCTTCCCAGATGACCCAACAATGCCAACCCTAGATGGAGAGCCCGAGAGAAATGGTCATGTACAGGTCTTGGGGTGGGGCTACATTATCGATAATTTCCTAACAGGGTGAAGCATCCAAATGGTTGTCAACTGACAGGTGAAGAAGGCAGATGTGGAAGCCCATGGGGGCAGTTCCACCCTGTCCGACAGGGTCATGTGAGTCAGCATGAACTCGATGGCAGTGAGAGGTGTTTCCATGCAATGTGACCTTATTCCGTGCAGAAAGGAACAAAGTGCTGCACTGTATGGACCGAGCTGGAAGACGACACACGGAGTGGAAAAGCCACGTGTCCCTATCCAATCAGATCCAATGGATATGAGGTGTTCAGCTCAGGCAAATCTCTAGGAGCCCTGGTGGCGCAGTGAGTTAGGCATTGGCTGCTAACCATGTAGTCACTGGTTCGAGCCCAGAGCTGCTACATGGAAGAAAGATGAAGCTGTCTACTCCCATGAAGCGTTACCGTCTCAGAAACCCTAGGCAGTAGTTCTACTCTGACCTGTAGGGTCACCATGAGTTGGTATTGACTTGTTTTATTTTGCAATTAAAAAAAATTGTTTATGGAAACAGAAAGTACATTAGCAGTTGCTTAGGTGCTGGCTAAAGGATCCGTTGTTTCTTTTAGAGATGATGAGAGTGTTCTGAAATTAGATTATGATGGTGGTTTCTCAACCCTGAATACACTAAAATCTGGGTGTTGGTCACCTTCGGTAATATTTTACTGTCTACGCATGTGTCTTGCTATTTTTTGTTGAAACCGGGACATTTCGACGTTACAGTACGTTGGTTTTCTCAATCCCCCCATGTGCACAATGTTTAAGAAAGAAAGCACTCATTTCTCCAAAAAGACTCTTAGAAGATCCCAGATTTCGGTCTTTGTTCACCATTCCATCTTTCACCTTAGGAAAGCCCTGACTCGGGCCAGACCAGGGCGTTAGTCCTTAGCCAGCTGGTAGATCCATGGAAAATGCATACTTCCTGCAGTCTTAAGGTTTCAGTCTGTCCGTCCGCGGCTCTGAGACGCATCTAATTACACAGCCTGAACAGTCTGCCCGTGGATCCGTCCCAGTCACGTCACAGCCAGACTTCACATCCCTTCTCGGTGCTCAGGGGGCCATGGGTTGACTGGGGCTGCGATTGGGGGGCCTCTTCCACCTTCTGAAAGACGCAGTGGAGGGTGGAGGGACGGCGACAGTGGAGAAACAGAGTTAATAATAAAAATGTGTCCTGTGTCGTTTTAAACGGTTTCTCCTTGCTACCATCCGTAGTCTGCTCTTTCACCATCCTCACCGGGCCGAGGGTACATTTCCAGTTGCTTGTCTCGGTGGACGTACGGGAAGGGGCGAGATCTTAGACCCGATCACGGTGCTAGCTCCCCAGATGTTGCCACTTCACTGGTAAGGGCAACCGTGTTCCATCTGTCACCTCGTATTTCTCTCACGATTGCAATGTCAACACCACCTGTCTGCTCCAGCTTCCCTAAGCCAGGTGCACAAATAACTTGTGTTCGTGGGTCCCCCTCCCCACCACCCCTTGTTTCCTTTGAAAATTGAAGCATGAGATTGAGATCGTGGTTTGGGAGTGATTCCAGGATGAGGTAAGGAGCCAGCCCCAGGACCAAATGGAGCTCAGTAACCGGACAGAGGCAGGCGGAAGGAGGGTGCAGAGCCGGTGCCGAATGGCACACCAGTAGAATGTGCAGGTTCTTGGGGAGGAGCCAGGGGGAAGTGCCTGGGCTTGCAGGTGATTACAGAGTAGGTGGTCAAGGCAACCTCGTGTAGATGATAAGGAAGAAGGCAGTCACTTGCGACAAGTGGGTTACATTCATGTTAAAAATCATTTGTGTATGTTTGTGTGTATGGGCAGGGGGAGGGAATACTTACTTCAAATGAGTGTGCATTCAGTTGAATGAGAGGCATGTGAGTTGATATCAGTTTGCAGGAATACGCTAGAGAGAGAGCGAGAGAGAGAGAGAGAGAGAGAGAGAGAGAGAGAGAGCACTGTGTCATATTTGAAGACTCAACGTCTCCCACAGGTTATTATTTTTGAATAGAGCAATTTCTTTCACCACACCCTGTCTCCTGTTTCAAAACAACATGAATAGAAATCATTGAGAGGGTGTATGTCATTAGAGGTTAAATCCATACTCTTAAATATCTGTGGGTTTCCATGTTTACTAGTTCTCTCTCTGGCATGAACTCAGATCCGTGCTTTGCAACACTACCAAGTCTCTGAGGACCAAATGATGTGCATCAAACGGCTATCTAAACAGTACTCCTGCTGGGTAAAGCTGGACTGCTAATGGCAAAGTGGGTGGTTCAAACACACCAGCTACCTGCTGAGGCTATATGTTCCTGTCTTGAAAACCCTATATAGGACTCCTATGTGTCAGAATCGAATGGAGAGCAGTCGGTTTTTGGTACATCTAGCATACTTAAAAAAACCCAGGTATTATTAAAAGAAACAAACTCATGTGATTCTCATAACGATAGCCAATATGAAAATGGATTTGAATGACGGAGGAATGGTTTTTATTGTAAAAATTGCAAGTCAGCCCCATTTTAAAATGTGAACTGGGAAATCAGAGAGAAGGTGGGGCCAAAGGGCAGAAGTCCCTCCAGGGGGCGCCAGGCAAAATCGCATCATTAACCACAAGAACACAACTACACTCCAGGGAAAAAGCATCCAGCGCCGTGAGAAGTGAGACCCACTTTCTTCCCCAAATACTCGCTCCCCGCTCCTCAAACTTCCTGTCACGGAACGCAGGCTCAGGGTCCCCTGATGAACACCATGTAAGACAAATGCATGAAAATGAAAGTCAAGGAGGAGCTGGGATGTGCCGAGTGCCGTTATCAGATGTGCTCATCTCACCGGAGCGGGTTAGATGGACGGTGACAGTCATGGGAAAGTCTCTCACGGCTCGTAGCGACCCTGAGGGCAGAGTAGAACTGCTTGGCGATGACGATTCTCTGGGAGCGGCAAGACTGGTCTCTCTCGCAGACTCAGAGAGAGAACAGTAGCTTCCTCTCCTCGCCATTAAAAGGGGCGCTACCCTGGGCGTGTTTGCTTTCCGATTCGTTCTCTGGCTCCTTTCAACACAAAACCCGTCGCGATGGTGACGCGGATTTAAAATACGAACTCTGGAGGCAGAGTATCAGAGGCTGGGGGAAGCCCCCCCACACCCCACACCCCCTGTGGGCATCCCCGTGGTGATGGAGAGGAAGACGGGTACAGAGATGCACAGTTAAGGCCAAACACCACCGTGTCGTTTTAAAAGAGGCAACAAGAAACTACACATCCCTCCCGTGAACCTGCTCCCGGTGCTTCCAGGCGTAGAGGAGACCCAACAGTTGGCTGTGTCTAATCTGTTCAGATTTGTTACCTTTGGGGGTGAGGGGGTGGGGTCGGGGGGTGGGGGTTCCCTTAGGAGGGGGTTTAGATTACAGATCATTCCCTTTGTATGCCACAGTCTAAGCTACCCATCAGACCCCTCCATCCGCCTGCCCCTCCCCTGCTCCTCGCTTTCCCCTCTGCCTCCTGCGGTGGACACCTCCATCCTCAGCTGTGCCCACGTCAGCGTCCATCAACCAAGATGTCTTGGCCATTGCTTCCTACCCCCTCCCTGCCCTCCTCCCTTCGCAAAACTCCGAAGTCGGTTCCCTTCAGTATGAAAGTCTTCATCTTGTTGGGGTGTTTTTTTGTTGTTTATTTGTTTTAGTTTTGGTTTGCTGCTTCTCCCCCCACCCCCAAAAAAAACCCATTTTATTGGGAGCTCATTCAGACATCATACCATTCCCTAGTTCAAGCGCATCGGCCGTCTTGTGCAATTGCTACATTCTCGTCTTTCTTGAACCCCTAGACGTCAGCTCCCCTTGACCCCACCTCCCTCACCGTAACAACACCCCTCCCCCCCAGGCACCCTTATTCTACTTCTCGTCTCCATCGGTGTTGCCTTTGAGTGGGGAGTTTCCTTTTCCCTGGTTTTAACGGAAGATACATAAAACACTTACTTCCAGGAACATCGGCCATCTATTCTTGAGACTAGGCTAGATTTAGTGTCTGCGGTGAGCCAGAGTTGTAAACATGCCTTGTGTCTATTACCTATGTTGATTGCTGTTTCTTGTTTATCTCCTGTCAGGACCCAGATTCGGATGTTTGCTTTCAGGAGAGTCTCGATGGTCTCTGGGACTCCCGCCTGGAGGCGGTCCTCGATAGCAGTGGCGCCCAGCAGCAAGAACCCCTAGATGGGGGTGAAGGAGACACGGTTTTATGACCAACTTAAGCTAGAGACTATTTATTGCTCAAGCTGAATAAAAAGAGGAAATTCTGACAAAAGGCAGGTAGTCTCCTAATGGATTCTGCAAGAGTCCCATATGTGCACCGCGTGCACACACACACACACATTCACACACGCTGTATTCTCTGTTCTTTTCCATGGTGTGCACCATCTCTCCCTGTCTCACCCTATCACGAGGAGTACCCGACTGGGGCTGAGAGCGGAGGTTCTTCCAGACTGTGGAGTCTCCGTACAGCGAAATGCTGCTGTTGGTTGAGATGCTGCGTCCAGTCGGTTCCAACCACCGGGAGCCCACATATGACAGAAGGGAACCTGCCGGGCCCCGCACTGCCCAAACACTCAAGCCCACGGTAGCAGCCACTGGGTCCACCATGGGCCCACCCGTCTCATCAGGGGTCTTCCTCTTTTCTGCTGGCCCGTGACGTGCACACACAACACGCGCACACAAAGAAAGAGTCCAGATGGTTGTACACCAGAACTTAACTGGTCATTAGCAACACCCTAAAAATGATCATTGTTTATTATTACTGCTTAGCTTTTTTTATAAGGAACATGCTCTTCTTCTGATGTGGGGAAAGTGGTTCCAAAAAGGGAATCCAGAGTGAAGTGAGTGGGTAAGGCCCAGAAGAGGAATACATACTTGGGGATATTCTGTAAGGACATATTTTTCTTTAATTGAAAGATAATTTTATTGGGGGCTCTTACAGCTCTTATAACTACCCATACATCCATTGTATCAAGCATATTTGTACATATGTCACCATCATTATTTTCTAAACATTTACTTTCTATTTGAGCCCTTGGTATCAGCTCCTCCCCACCCCCACTCTTTTTTTTAAGATCATTTTATTGGGGGCTCTATAAGGACTTAGTTCATGAATTTCCTGTGTGATCTCACTTGCTGCCAGCGAGTCAATGCTGACTGTGCTAGTCTGGGTAAACCAGAGAAACAAATTCATGGACACTCCTCTGTGTATAGGAAAGAGCTTTATATAAAGAGTAATTGCCCATTATGAAAACATCCCAGTATGTACCCTGATACAGATAGGAACTGGAAATACAAGGAATCCAGGGCGGATGAGCCCTACAGGACCAGTGGTGTGAGTGGCGATACAGGGAGGGTAGAGGGAGAGTGGGTAGGAAAGAGGGAACCGATTACATGGAACTGTATGTGACCTCCTCCCTGGGGGACGGACAACAGAAAAGTGGGTGAAGGGAGACGTCGGACAGGGAAAGATATGACAAAATAACAATTAATAAATTATCAAGGGCTCATGAGGGAGTGGGGAGCGGGGAGGGAGGGGAAAAATGAGAACCTAATGTCGGGGGTTTAAGTGGAGAAGAAATGTTTTGAGAATGATGGGGGCAATGAATGTACAAATGCGCTTTACACAATTGATGTGTGTATGGATTGTGATAAGAGTTGTATGAGCCCCTAATAAAATTATTAAAAAAAAATAAAAATAAATAAATAAAATCATTTTTTTAAAAAAGAAAAAATAAATAAATAAAATGATTTTTTAAAAAAAGAAAACATTCCAGTCCAGATCAAGTCCATAAGTCCGATATCAGCCCACATGTCTAGTACCAGTCTATAAATTCCTCTTCAGACTCATGCAGCACATACAATGACGCCGAATGCAAGAAGATCACAGGCCAGTGGGTGGAAAGTCTTGTGGATCCGGTGGTGGTGGAAGCATCTCAGCGCTGGCGTGGGTCTCCACATGGCTCCTCCAGCTCCAGGGCTCTGGCTGCCATGTGGCTTGTCAACAGGAATGTCTCACAGGGAGTGAGTGTGTGTCCCAGCGAGCTATTTATCTCCTTACCGCCTCCAAATGCGGTCATCAAGCTGTGACCTGATTGACAGGCCAAACTCCACCCCTTATTCTTAATAGTTTCAAGTTGACAGCAGATGATGTAATGACCCCACTGACTCGCAGTGACTGTGTAGGACAGGGTAGCACTGCCCCTGCGGTTTCCGTGACGGCCACTCTTTACAGGAGCACAAAGCCCTCTTTCTCCCTCTGGAGCAGCTAGTGGTTTCAAACTGCTGACCTTGAGGATTTAACGGCTACGCCATCAGGGCCCTATCCCCGTGTGAAAGGGCACCTCAGGAAGGGGACTCGGGGACCCTGGGACCCAGGCAGACCCTCTGGCCCCCACACACGGGCATGTCACCTTCTCAATGGTGTCGTAACATGCTTCAATCCTCTGACTTCTCCCGTGGGCAAGGGTGCTCGCTTTCTGGTACTCCTGCAGCCACTTCTTGTAGTCCTGCTCCGTGAGGTCAGTGTAAGCAACACAGAGGGTTCTCAGACCTGCGAGCAAGCACATGGCTCCCCGTTATGCTCCCAGGGCCAGGGGACAGGAGACGTGCAGGGGAGAATCATGCATGTGAACAGGGAGCCCTTCAAGATCCTCTTCGGTCTGCCTCTGGCTGCCTCGCTGGAGTTTGGACCTAGAGGCGAGGAGCCCTGGTGGTGCAGTGGGTCACATATCGGGCTGGTAAGCACAGGTGAGCAGTTTGCAATCACCAGCTGCTCCGTGGGAGAAAGAGGAGGCTTTCGACTCTTGTACAGACTTACAGCCTGGGAAACCCACAGGGGCAGGTCTATCCTGTCCTAGGTGGTCTCTGTGAATGAGCTACAGCCCGCAAACAGAATCAGCAGGACACCTTGCTCCCCAAATCCAAGAACACCCCCACTGTCATAGAGCCAATTCTGACTCATAGCGACCCCGGGGAGCGTTTTTGAGCCTGCCTGTCTTTTGGGGGAAGCAGACAACTTCTTTTCCTCATACAGGGCAACTGGGGGGTTTGAACCTCCAACCTTGCGACTAGCCGCGCAATGCTTACTGAAGAGGGCCCCTGGTCGGCGAACAGTCTCTGTGTACTGCCGTTCTCACTTGTCTGCCACCCACTCGTGGGGTGGTATTTTCATCAACGGCCTAGTGTCAGTCCAAATCAGAGGATAACCAGAGATCGAGAGGGAAACAGCAAGGCTGGCAGTTTTCACTTAAGCCTCTGTAACACGTCATGAATACCCTGTCTTTCCTCCCCATCATGGGTCAAGCTAAAAGATCACACTGAGCCAAAAAAGAGACTGGAATGATCTAAAGCAGCGGTTCTCAACCTGTGGGTCTCAACCGCTCTGGGGGTCGGACGACCGGTTCACAGGGGTCGCCTAACACATCCTGCATATCAGATATTTACATGATGACTCCTAACAGTAGCAACATTCCAGTTATGAAGTGGCAACGAAAATAATGTTATGTTTGGGGGTCACCGCCACATGAGGAACTCTAGGAAAGGGCCACGGCGTTAGGAAGGTTGAGGACCACTGGTCTAAAGACTCCACTACAGGCACCAAAGAAGGTCTAAGAAAACCAGCTCACTGACACCCAGTCCTGCTGATTCACAGCGACCCTACAGACAGGGTGGCACTTCCCCTGTGGGTTTCCCAGCATGCAACTCTTTACTGGAGCAGACAGCCTTGCCTTTCTCCTGTGACACCACGGGGGGCCTCCAACTGCTGACCTTGGGGAGAGCATCCCGACTCCTGACCACTGTGCACCAGGGTCCCGAAGGAAGGAGCACAGAGGGACATGGCTTCCTTGGTTGGTGTTTGGCTCTTGATTCCCTGGATGCATGTAAGTACAGTACATTGCTCAAGAGAGTGGGGGTTTTATAGTGCAGTGCCATCGGGGGACCCAACAAGCACCCAGCAGACAGAAGGCAGGACAGGGCCATGCCTTCAGAGGGCCTCCCCTTGGCTGCCTGGGAGCCCAAGGGTGCCTTCAGGGCTCCAGCGTCAGCCACCATCCACACGGCAAAGGGAAGTGGCTTCTCACGTACCTTCCATGGCGAAGTATTTCAGGTGACTCAACGTCTCCTCCACGAACAAAGAGTCTTTGGAAAGTCTCTCATAAATCACCGAGTCCTGGCAAAGAAACGTGCAGAGCAGCCATCAGACAGGGCTGTAAAGGCTGCTGTGTCATTTCACTGTTGGTAGCCAGCAGGTGTGCAGTGGCCTGGGCTGTGGCTGTGCGGGGCTGTCGAGCCCCTCCAGGTGCACAGAGACCACCAGTGACAGGAGCCCCTCTTGGTGCTAATCTCTATGTGGTCCAGGATCTGTGGTGGCTTAGTGGTTGTGCGCTGGGTTATGGTCCTCGCGGTCAGCAGTTTGAAACCACCAGCAGGTCCGAGGGAGAGAAAGACTGGGCTTTTGGCTCCTGTAAACGGTTGCAGTCTCGGAAACCCACAGGGAGCGCCGTGAGTCACACTGACTCGATGGCAGTGAATTTGGCTTTTTAATCTCTAAGGCAGCAAATGGCTTTGATTCCACGGAGCTGCTGACCCCTGGCAGCTGTGTGTTCAGCACACGGGTTCCCCTTGCCTCTCACTCGCTCTCACGGCCAGCAAGTCCATCCTGATGACCAGAGGCCCCACAGGACAGAGTAGAGCAGCTGCCTAGGGTTTCCAAGGCTGCACACTGAAAGAGCGGGAGAGGCTTATGGGCTCGAACCATCAACCTTTGGGTGAGCAGCCTGACGCTGAACCCACTGCACCGCCAGAAGGAATTCAGGAATACGTCTTAAAGTACGGTTTGACTTTGTCACTTCAAACTAAAGGCTGGGCCTGCAAACCAAATAAACTGGGGAAGTTCACAAAACAAACAGACCCAAGGAAGTGAGACACTGCTGTCTTAGGTGCCCTCAAGTTTCCCAAAGAAATTTTTAAAAACCCAAAACTTTCCATTGAGGATTTTCTGTTTTACTCTATTGTGGTTAGGTCCTCCCCACCACCCAACAGTTTTATTGGCATATAATCCACATATTAATCTACAATTCAACAGTTCATTCACCTCAAGAAGAGGTGTACAATCATCACTACAATTTCAGAATATTTTGTTTGTTCTTGTACTCATTGTTATGAGCTCAGTCATGTCCCCCTACCTCCCCTGCCATGCTCCCAATGAACCATTAACCTAGTCACTATAGGTTATCTACAGTAACTATAGAGTCACCTATAGATTCTATAGATCTGACCCATCCTGGATTTCATATACAGAAAAGCATTAAAAAAAAATATTAAAAACTAGGGCAAATTTAAATGGATCGTAAGGGAAAGCAAATGACAGGCTACTATATGGTCAGGTTTGGGGTGGGGCTGGGTTTGTATGTTTTTATGTATATGAAATCCAGTGCAGGTGTGATAGGTAGATTGATTGTGCCAACCTGGCCAACAGGAATATGCGGGATTAATCAGGTCACAGTTTGATTGGAGGGCAAAGAGATAAATGACTTTGCAAGGCCCACCCCCCTCGCTCTTGCTCTCTGGTATCAGAGCTTGCTGGAGTGTGCGTGCTGCCGCTGGAGCTAGTTCTCTGCCTCAACCTGTGAGCTACACCACCTGTGGGCCAAGCCAACCCACAGGTGGATCGTGTTGCTAGAGCTTGAGGCCTCTACGAGACCTGTGTCTCCACGCTGCTGGCACATACATTGCTTGAGCTTGAGGCTGGTGGATCCTGTCACCTTGCATGGCTTGTGTTCCAAATCCCATCAGGGCCTGCTTGGCTCAGCTCCCCCGAGCTACTGGCTGTGGCTGACCCACCCTGCTGCTTGCTGCCTGTGGGCAGACTCTGCCTGCCTTGCCCGAGGGAAGACTCTGCTGTCTGCTTCCTTGACCTTGGACCCTGAAGCCCTCGAGAGTTGAAGAACTTCCAGTATATTAAACTGTCCCACAGAAGTGCGTTGAACTGAACCCTCTGTACTGCTGTGTGCACTAATTAACTGTAATATTCCTTCTTGCTGTATAAACCTATATATATATATATTCATAAGTGTCCTGGTTTTGTTTCTCTAGAGAGCCCTGCCTGACACAATGGGTACATTTATGCAGACAATAACAGGTTTGATGGTTTCTTGGGTGCATGGTGAGGGAGGTTGGGCGCATGGCAAGGGAGGTTGGGCGCATGGCGAGGGAGGTTGGGGCAGTTCACAATGAGTACGAGAAAAAGAAGATGTTCTGGGATTGATTGTGGTAACGATCGTACAACGCGTCTAGATGTGGCTGAACTATTAAATTGTCTAATACATCATCGCAAACATCTATGAAAAGCCACCACGTGGCTGCGGGAGTGAAGGAGACTCAGCTGAGATCCTACGAGGCCATCCAGGCAACTAGTGTTCACACAAGAGAGCACCCGATTCCCAGGCACGCCAGCCCGTCCCTCCAAGTGTGCCTCTGAGTACGTACAACATTCGCCAATTGCCAGATGGCAGAGAAAGGGCCACCAGGAAGAAGTGCTCTTGCCCGGGGATCATGGAGAGCCGAGAACAGCCAGAAGGACCATCGGGTTTATGGGCCATCGGGTGAACAACCCAGGAAGGTCTGGTCTTGCCTGCACTGTGAGGAGCGTCTAGCTTAGAGCAGCCCAGCTCCGGACCGGCCCAACACACCTCAAAGGCAGATGCCGAGCAGGTCTGCTTCTCGCTCCCATGAGGTTACCGCCTCAAACACAGTTCTAAAGAATGTCGCGCTCAACTCACGGCCTTTGAGTCGATGCTGATTGTAACAACCCTCCAGGACAGAGTAGATCTGTCCCTGTGAGCTCCAGTGATCGTGACTGCTTCCAGGAGTCGAAAGCCTGACCTTCTCCCGCAGAGTGGCTGGTGGTTGTGAACTGCTGATCACTCTTAGGAACATGAAAATATCCCATGTCGAAAGGTGATGGTAGTGATATGAAGCTGCCCGTGCAATAAAAACGCATAGAAAACAACCACACACACACACACACACACACACAAATGAGTGCACATAAACTGGTGGAATCTGATGGATTCAGGTTGATGAATTAGTTATACCACTGTCCGGTTTCCCGGATGTGAACTGTACTATAATTAACACAAGCTGCCACTCTCAGAGGAAAGCGGGTGATAAATGAACACTGGTAGCCCGTACAACTTCATATAAATCAGCATATATCTAAAGAATCCAACACTCAACAAGGTAACACTCAAAATAGCTGGCATTCGATCCAAAATTCCCAGACAGGTGAAGCAGGAAAATACAACCCCAAATGAAGAGATAAGCTGATTAGTGAAAATGAATCCAAAGCTGACACAGGTATTTGAATGATGAGATACATTTAGGTAAAGTTATAACTGTACCTTAATGCATTCAGCTGGTAACTAGAGCTATTTTTAAAGACTTTTTTAAAACTTAAACTGATTTCTACAAACTACAATTTCTGAGATCGTTTAGAAGCATGGTGGCTGAACGGAAAACCCAACACACAGTGGATGAAAGTATGAGCAGACAACAGGTTGTAGAAGAAAACATGTCTGACCTGGAAGATGGAGTTGGGAAATGATGGAGGAGGAGAGGGAAGTACACCAGTAAGCTGCCGGGCAGCTTCAAGCAGTCTAACACGATACAGCTTCAAAACATTCATGGAAGAACTCCGTTATCTCTCCATTCCATTTTTCCCACGAGCTTTTTTGAAGGTCCCTTGTTTCCCGTCTACTTGAAAGGAATCTTTGTGGGAGGAGGAGAGGGACCAAACAGTTGGGGAAATAATGGCCGAAATGTTTTCAGCTTGATGAGAACTGATTGCAACTCGATGTAAAGAAAATCAGTCCTCAAGCTGAACCGACAGACAGCATCGTGATAAACAGGGAAAGGACTGTACTTATTGAGGAGTGCTCTTGGCTCACATGCCCATCGAGGCCCGGGTAGGCAGGCGTGGAGAAAGCAAACGGCGACGTGTTGCTCCGCACAAGACCTCTTCCGAGAGCCAAAGATCAAAGACGCCACTGTGAGCATGGAGGTGCTCCCCACTCACTCTGCTCTCGGCCGCGGGTCGATGGGTCGCAGAGCCCCCGTGGGTTTCCAAAACTGCCACTCTTCAAGGGAGTAGACAGACCCATCTCTATCGACAACTCACCTACGCCTCACTAGAACAAAGGCATTTATTTTAAAAAGTATGTACGGCGGTGAATGATTCTTTAAGTGCTTCACACACACACACACACACACACACACACACACACACACACACACAGAAAGAGCTGGTGGTATCTCCCACCAGGCAGTTAGAAGCCCCACCCACCCCATGATACTACCAGGGTTCCCGACTCAGGTCATCGTTGTAACAATCAGATCCGGGATCAACAGGTGACATCATGATAAACAGGGAGAGGATTGAAGTTGTCAAGGATTAAGTCTTCCTTGGATCTACAATCAGGGTGCATAGAAGCAGCCGGGAGATTAAACAACATGTGGCATTGGGTAAACCTGCTGCGCATGACCTATTTAAGGTGTTGAAAAGCAAAGACGTTACTTTGAGAACTGACCCAAGCCATGGTATTTTCCATCGCCCTGTGGTAGTTATATCATCTGGTGCCAATTTGAGAGGATTATGAGTGAATGGGATGAAGTCTGGCCTGCCGATCAAGATATGATCAATGAGGCCTCTGTGTGGGCATGGCCTTCTCCTGAGAATTCTGGGAACTCCTGTATTTCCTCCTTGGAGGTAGGAGAGACTTCTCTCTACTCACTTCCTGCGAGACATGGAAGCCACATGGACCTACCCTGATGCAGCCCTGGGAACTGGAGGAGCCACATGGAGACCCCTGCCATGGCTGAGATGCTTACAACACCACTGGATCCAAAGACTTTCTACCCACTGGCCTGTGATCATCTTGCATTTGGCATCATTGCATGTGTTTCATGAGTCTGAAGAGGGCTTTGTAGATTGGTATCATACATATGGGCTAAGATCGGACTTACGGACTTGATCTAAACTGGTCTGGGATGTTTTCTCAATATTCAACTGCTCTTGTATATAAACCTCTTTCTTATACACATGTGTGTCCATGGATTTGTTTCCCCAGTCAACCCAGACCCACACACTCCTGCTATGCCTCTGAATGCTGGACACGGAAAAGGAAGATCAAAGAAGAATCGATACCTTTGAATATTGAAAGTACTGTGGACTTCCAAAAGAACAGACAAGTCTGTCATGGAAGAAGGACAGCTGGCGTGCTCCTGAGAGACATGTTGTTAGGAGAGGCTGGTCCCTGGAGAAGGACATCATGTTTGGTCAAGTGGAGGGGCAGTGACAAAGGGGAAAGCTCTCAAGAAACAACTTGGCTGTTGGTGTTAGGCGTTGTCGAGTGGTTCTTATATTTGAGCCTCTTGTCGCAGCCACTGGGTCAATCCAAGAACCACTAGACAATGCTTTACACCAACAGCCAAGTTGTGTCTTTTAAAAAAGCATATACGGCAGTGAATACTTCTGTAAGTGCTTTACACACACACACACACACACACACACACACACTCAGAGGAAGAGCGAAACTCCTGAGACTTGCCAACCCCAGCACGTTGCACTTGGAACAGATGTCAAACCCATAAATCTGCAGTCCATGAGAGCTGCTGCAAATGGTATCAAACCCTGACCAGTGGTTCTCCATCAGACCACCGAGGGATGCTTTGCTCGCCTTAAAGCTCAACAAGCATTCGGCGGAGCGACCCTGCAGATATCAACGTGCTGTTGACTGCCCTGGAAGGACATGTGATCTCGGGTGATGTCTCCAACCACTGATAGGACATACAATAAAGGGCACCGACATCTTCGAACCCCGTGGCGATGCCGTCGTGGCGATTAAGGAAACCCCGTACTTACAGCGCCTTTGCAGTAGAGCCGGAGCTGCCCCGTAGGCGTTCGGACAATTATGGACATCCGTTTCCGGTCACTACAACAGTAAAAAAGACCATCATAGGTTTCTTCGCTCCTTGACTCCCACTCCCTGCCATTAAGGTCATTCAGGCTCACAGCGACCCCGGGGCCAGAGTAGAAAGAACTGAGCCATAGGGCCCCCAAGAATGTAAGTCTCTGTGGAGGAAGGAGTGGGGGGCTCATCTTTCTCCCAGGGAGAGTCAGGACCACGGACCATTTGGTGAGTAGCCCAGTGCTGGACCACCGAGTCCCCAGATCCGCCCCCGAGAAAAGAGTGCTACTGTCTACAGGACGGAGAGCCAGCCAGATCGGCACACGTCTGCTTCCGTTACTGTGTTCTTTAAGCTGGGGTTCTAATTCCCAATCCCCAAAGACGTGTTCTGAAGTCACTCTGTGGGCTAAGGCCTGCCTGACCCAGGCCACGGACTTGTCAGCGTCCTCAAATGAAATGTGGAAGCTGGTCAATGAACGAGGGAGGCTGAAGAAAAGTGGATGCCCGTGGGTTATGATGCTGGCAAAGAATGCTGAGTAAATCAGCAACTGCCCCCAAGAAGTACCCCCAGGAGGCTCCTTAGAAGCCAGGGCAGTGAGATCTCGTGTAGACTGAGACACGTTATCCGGAAGGACCAGTCCCCAGGGGGCAGTATCATGGGGCCAAATAGATGACCAAGGAAATAGAGGAAGGCCTTCAACCGGATGGCTTGGCACAGTGGGGGCAACAATGGGCTCAGCCTGGCAGAGGTGGGGAGAGTGGCGCAGGGCCGGGCAGGGTCTTGTCCTGCCCCCGGGGTCACCGTGAGTTGGAACTGACTAGGCACTGAATGGCCCCTCCTGTGCCTCTTACGTTTTCCCTCTCACGGTCATTCTCCCGTGGCAGGTTGCCAGCCCAATGACTCCGGGCCAGACTGATGGAGAGAGCGGAAGGTAGCCTGGTGGTCTGTGCTTTCTATGTGCCACTCGGACCTCACAACATGCCTGTCAAATACCTGCTGTGTCCTCATTTTACTGGACAGACACGATAAATGGTCCACACCCAAGGATTGCTCAACACACAAACAAAAAAAAACTCCCTGCCACGGGGGTCTCTTCTGACTCACAGTGACCCGTGACGTCAGGGCAGCACTGCCCTTGCGGGTGTCTGAGACTGTGATGGCCTGTGGGAGTAGAAAGCCTTATCGCTCTCTCATGGACCAGCTGGTGCCTTCAAACTGCGTGTCCTGAGGCTGATGCCCAACACCAGCAGTGTTCCTTCTACAATAGGTCTGCCTCCAGGGCCCCAGGTTTCCATCTTAATGCTGGGGCCAGAATGCAAACTCGTGGCTTCCGGTCCTGAGCTCGGGGATCGAGCAAGCCAGACATCACAGTCATGGGGTTGATTCTGACTCATCGCATCTGGGTAGAACGGGGAAACACAGTCCCTTTGGGTTTCTGAGGCTTTAAGCTTTATGGGAGTAGACTGCCTGATCCTTCTCTCGTGGGACAGCTGGGGGGTTCGAACTGCTGACCTTGTGGTTAGCAGTGCAACGCGTCACCACGATGCTAGCAGAACTCGCGGTGATCTTCCTACTCTGCTGTATCCCACCCGGCCCGAGTAAACGGCACACCACTGTCCTTCTTCCTCATCATGCTGCTCAGCCCTCTGACTGTTCTCCTGGCCATCAAAGACTTTTCTAGACAACCCCTACAAATACCTTTGCAGCCCCCGCCTGCCCAGTCTCACTCACTGTGCGCTTCAACCACAGGCAAGATGCACCTTCCCTGGACAGCCCGCATCCGCCTCCACCCCATCACTGACCCCACGTCCTCCTTCTAAGGCGTGTGCTCCCATTCGCATGCCCCTTCTGGAAGCCAGCCCATCCTTCGCCCATGCCCCCTCCTCCACAAAGCTCTTCCCAAAGCTCCACTAGCAGAAGTAGACCTTGATGCAGCCCTCTACCATGGTGGCACCAGGCCTGGTCTGGTAGGAAAATAACTCTTTCACACCTGCCCTGTTGTGATAGGTCGGCTTATTGTGCCAACCTGACCAGTAGGAACATGTGGGATTGATCAGGTCGCAGTTTGATTGGAGGACAGAGAGACAAATGGCTCTGCAAGGCCCGCCCCACCCTCTCTTGCTCTCAGGTGATCGGAGCTAGCCTGCTGGAGTGTGCGTGCTGCTGCTGTAGCTAGTTCTCTGCCTCAACCTGTGAGCTACACCACCTGTGGGCCACGCCAACCCGTGGGTCATGTGGCTTGAGCTTGAGGCCTTGCATTACTTGCATTCCATGTCCCATCAGGCCTGCTTCACTGAGCTCCAGAGCTACTGATCCACCCTGCTGTCTGCTGCCTACGGGCAGACTCTGCTTGCCTGGCCCCAGGGAGGACTCTGCTGTCTGCTTCCTTGACCTTGGACCTGGCAGCCCACCTGAGTTGAAGGACATCCAATAATTGCATGAAAGTGAGTTGAACTGAGACCGCTGTACTGCTGTGTGGGCTAATTAGCACACATACACATATACGCATATACATGTATAAAATCCCAAGTGTCCTGGTTTCATTTCGCTAGCGAACCCTGCCTAGCACACCTGTCTTCCAGGAGACTGTCAGCTCCTAAGGGCAAGGGGGATGTCTTCGTCTTGAATGCCAAACCCCACACCCTCCCCACTTGCTCATTCAAGATGGACAAACAGATGCTTCGTGGAAGGGTTCACAGAAAGGCGGCAAGAACCTCTCCCATTGGACAGTCTTTAGGAGCCTCCCTGGTGACAGAGTGGGTTCAGCGTTGGGCAGCTGGTGTTTGGAACCCCTCAGGTATTCCAGAGAAAGAACCATGCACCTCCCGGTTAGTGGTGGGATGGAAACTATGCCACCAGGGAACTTTCGCTGTCTACGAGGGGGGCCTTCAAAATGTTCACGAGGGGAAAAAAGGGAATAAAAACACTGTGAAGGGTGACGGGTGAGTTGAGGTTGACTAGCGTCTCGTGATTTTGTTCTTGAGCTTGGATCGGCAGGGCCAAGTCTCGGGCGCTTAGCTATGGAAACAGCCTGAGCAGCCACGCGCGCGCTACCCGGACAGGTAACTTACCTGGAAAACTCCAGGACGTGGAGAATTTTGAAGGTGAGCATTTCCCCCATCTACAGGAAGAGAAAACAGCATATTCCTTCTTTCTTACCTTCATGGGGGTGCAGGGGGGGCGCGAGTAACCATCTGGCCAAACAACTCCTGCCCCACAACCACGAATGAGCTTTTCCTTATAAGTCTGATGAAGCCATGGTGGGGCCCTCCCCCCCTGTGGCAGCAGTCTCATTTGCCACCTAGGCAAACATCTCTGACCAACCGTGCGGAGTCTCGATCTGAGGCAACAAGGGCTTCCCTGTAAAACCGGAGCCAACTGAAACATTTAATAGACACACTCACGTGGTGGAGGACCGGGCCAGACGGGGCTGCATACTGGCAGGCAGCAATGCCAGTGCAAATAAAAGGGAATCCTCCACGCTGAGGTCACCGGAAGAGGTTGCAGGTGGGGGGAGTCAGAGGCTAGAGGGTGGCCAGGCAGTGTCTCGGGGGAAGGAGAAGGCCATAGACCATCAGAGGGCTTGTGTAAACAACAACTGGTAGGGGCAGGAGGGCACACTGGAAAGTTTGCCCAAGCTGAAGGCAGCAGAGCGAAAAGCTCTTGTAGACACGATCCTGCAGCTTCCAGTCTCTGGCTGACCGTCTCTTTGACGACTCTGAGTTTTATTGTACAATGAAACTGAGCTCTATGAGAGGATGCTTAGATAGACACACAGTGTAGGAGGGTGTAGGAGGGAGGGTGGGAGGCGACCCACAAATGTACACAGGTACCTGTGACACAACTGTGACAGAGGGCACCTGCATCGGTGAATTCACTTTCACGGCAAATCCAACCATGAGTGTGGTGGAGCAGACAGGGGGAAAGAGCTATGGAAACTCTTCGGACAGAGCTGAGAGAGGGAGACACTGGGCCGGGGACTCAGGAGCATCATCCCAGGGACACCAAGGTCAACAGGCACAATATAGTTCACAGAGGCAGTGTCCTACGTCCTCCTCCGGGGAGTGGACACTGGGGCTCAGGGCTCAGGAGTGGCCATCCAAGGGCAGCTTGAGCTCCCTCTCAGTCCAGAGGGGAAAATTGTGATGGAAACTGAAATGCACATGGAAATGACCTGCCCACTTGAATGGACCTTGCAAACCTCAGCCTCCACAACCCTGAGACCAGAAGCACTAGACAGTGCCCGGCTACCACCACCAACTGCTCTGAAAGGCATCCACATCACATTAGGAGACCGTGCACAGAGTATGTGTGTGGGTGGGGGGTGGGGGTGAATGTGGAATAACATTCAAAATCATACCGGAGACCAAACTGAATGGTCACACAGAGACTGGTGGAGCCTCAGGGCCCATGGCCCTTAGTGGCCCTTCAGTTCTAGACCTAAACTCACCCCTGTGGCTTCTGTGGTCTGTGGCTCGGGGCCCTGGAGGTGGTTCCGACCCATAGTGACCTGTGTACAAGGGAAGGGCGCGCGCCTTTCCCGATTTTAAACCCCGTGGTCTTCTCTCGTCCATGTACAGGTTCCCCATGAGCACGACCAGGTGCTGCGCAATTCCAGTTCTTCTCAGCACTACCGCAGTCTGCTATCTTTCTGCCATGGTGGCTGATAGGCGCCAGTGAGCCCGTTCCACCCACAGCGACCTGACGCGCACCAGAACAGAGCACCACCCGGTCCTGTGGCAGCCTCGTGGCAGCCGCGGTGCCAGTCCATCTCGTGAAGGGCCTTCCTGTTCTTAGCTGCCCGGGCCCCCCCCCCCACGCACACACACACTTTACCAAGCAGGACGTCCTTTCCCAGGAAACTGGTCTCTTCATCTAACATGTCCAACGTATGTGAGAGGAAATCTCACCGTCCTGGCCTCTGAGGATGGTGGTGCTGCTTCCGAGACAGATCGGCTTGTTCTTCTGGCCATCCGCGGTCCTCTCAAAGTTCTTCCCCGGCATTCAAACGCATCGCTTCTTCCCTGGTCTTCCTTCTTCAGGGTCCAACTTTCACATGCACAGTATGGCTGACACAGGGCGCACAGTAGACTGACAGGAGAGGTTCTCAACCTGTGGGTCGAGACCCCTTTGGGGGTCGAACGACCCTTTCACAGGGGTCACGTAAGATCATCGGAAAATACATAAATATTTCCCAATATACAATTACATATTGTTTTGTGAGTGATTGCTATGCTTTAATCATGTTTCATGATGTTCAATCTGTAACAAGGAAAATACATCCTGCATATCAAGATATTTACAGGACGATTCATCACAGTAGCAAGGGGACAGTGATGAAGTAACAGAGAAAATAATTTTGTGGTCGGGGGTCACCACCACACGAGGAACTGTATTAAAGGGTCATGGCATCAGGAAGGCTGAGAACCACTGCCTTACACTAACATCCTTGCTTTTCAATGTTCTAAGGAGGTCTTGGACTGTGTGGACTTATGCAATGCAATGCATTGTTTGATCTCTTGACGGCTGTTTCCTTGAACATTGCTCATAGATCCAAACCAGACAAGATCGCTGACAACGTCAAGGGTTTTTTCCGTTTGTCATGCCACCTATTGGTCCGGCTGTGTCTTCTTTGCATTGAGTTGCCATCCATCCCGAAGGCTGTGATCCATCCTTGACCTTCACCAGTAAGCGCTGCAAACCCTCGACCTCAGCAAGCAGGGCTGGCAGATGGCTGATAAGCCCTCTTCCAATGCTGATGCCGCATTCTTCTTAGATGGCTCACCCTCTCTGCTCATGTGCTCAGCATACAGACTGCACAGGTGTGGTGAGAGGATACGACCCTGACACACACCTTGGACGTTGTAGCAGGAACGAATTTGATGATGACTTTGCGCTAAGCCGATGATTCGATGGTGGCTGTCAATTGGGAGCGACCCAATTCCAACAAGAGGATCCTGACTCAGAGGGATCCTGAAGGGTGGAGCAGAATTGCCCTGTGGGATTCCCAAGACAGCCCATCGTCATGGGAGCAGAGAAAGTGGCTGGTGGGTTTGAAGTGGGTTTGAAGTGGAAGACCTTGTTCGAACCTAGCCCAATGCCTGGTCCCCTCGGCCATCAAAGACCCTTCACTTAGGACAGGCGGGGTAAGAAAATCTCCCAGAGGAATTAAGAGATGCACCCGGAATGCTGGCTGGGAAGGCTATAGCGTCAGACCTTGTCCTGGCCCCGTGCCCCGTGCCCCACTGGAAGAGCAGCAGGTTGTAAGGCGCCGGGCGGAATCATGGATAAGGCAGGACCCTACTCACAGCTTCCATGGTGACAGAGTAGGGGGTCCTCGTCGTGAAAACAAAGCCCAGCTGCTTTGCGCCTTTCACCAAGGCCACTTCGTCTGCGAAGACAGTGCCCACATTAGTAGGCATGAGCCGGCAGGAGTGGGTGCCCTTCCCTGACGCTAAAGAGTGCCCGTTGGCTCTACGACGGGAGTTGGGAAAAGCTGGTGGGGCGCTCTCACTGTCTCTGGTTCCCTTAGTCGGGGGCTCTTGGCGCCCCCACCCCACCCACCCCCGTACGCCTGACCTTCCTATTGGGCCGCACCAGCCATTCCTCTGGGCACCACTGAGTGCGGGGCACGGGGGGAAGACTTGGGGCTAAGTCAGGCCTGACTGCTCATGGCTGGGGGGAGCTCTCAGTGTTCCCCCTGCCTTGGCAATGCGACATAATTCCTGGGGCCCAGGTACCCTCCCTCGTCTTTGGAGTGGCAGGGAGGGGTGGGGGCGACGGGGCGGGACCGGAGAGAGGTTCAGAGCCACTGTCACAGGAGTGACCATGGGAGGACCCCAGATTGGGAGAAGGGGGCAACCTAGGGTCCTCCTTGGCATCCCCACCCCTCCTCGTGCAGCACACGGGCTGGGCTCCCGGCTCCGTGGTGAGCACTGGGCACAGAGCGCCTACCTGGAGAAGAAGCCTGGTAAATGATGTCATCTCCATCTCTCTCGGGAACCACGGTGTGGCACACACATAACAGGGTCAGGAATTCCTTGATGTACTCTCCCGTGGGCTGCAGAACAAGCGAGAGTGGCCGGTCGCAACCCACGTCAGGGTCTCCACAGCTCCATTCCCAGCCGGGCTGGCAGGGAGGCCATCCACGAAGGAGGTTGGAGGGGGTCTCAGGAAGGAAGGCACCACTCTGCCCTCCTGAATCCTGTTGCCCGGGAAGAGTTCCCCTGGCCTTGTGCCCCACCACCACGCGGCCTTGTTTGACCACTCCACGAGATTGGAAGAGTTACTTCATAGCTTTAAAAATGCCGAGAGGCTGAACGGGCAATCGTCTATACAGCAGGGTGACACTGCCCCTGGGGTGGGGGTGGGGGGCTGCAAAAGCAGATACCCACACTTTATCCTGGACGATGGCTAGAATACAGAAGGTTTTAGTTGCCAATGGGGCAGCGAGTCCTATTTTTCTTCTGCAGGTGGAGTGGGAGGCCAAATTCGTTTGGGGACCAGAGCCTACAGGATGTGAGGGAAGATGATTGGCACTCGGGACCGCAGCCTGGTTAAAAGTAGACAAAGGCCGTCCCGGAGAAGGAGACAGGCTCTTTCAAGCTTGTTTTGTGGTCCCAGGTAAAAACCGGGGGATAGAGCGGGCCCTGTGGCTTAGTGGTTACGTGTTGTTGGGCTGCTAACCGCAAGGCCAGCAGTTTGAAACCACCAGCTGCTCCATGGGAGAAAGGTGGGGCTTTCTACTCCCATAAAGGGGTACAGAAACCCACGGGGCAGTTCTGCCCTCTGGGGTCACTGTGAGTCAGCATTGGGACTTGATGGCAATGGTTTGGTTTTGAGGGGAGCAAGGAGGTTCTGTCGGGAGGTGGTAGGGAGATGAGGGGAGGGAAGGATGGGGGAGCGATGGTCTCTGCAGAAGAATGATCTGCTGGTCTCTTCCTCGGACCAGCTTTGTTCCTGAGGTGGTCATGGCCCAGACGAGCCTTGGTCACAAGTTCCCAGGGGTTCGACACTTTAATTCTGATACAAGAACCCAATAGGGGCTTCTAGATGGTAAATGTAATTGATCCTAGCTGCAAGGACCCCACCCACCCACCCACCCACTCCCAAGCCCAGAAGCCACCTTCATGGTAAGAGTACTATGGGTGCTGAGGCAGAGAGGCCCCGGAAGCACTGTCTGGGACCACACCGTGCAGACAGGACGGTCTTCGCATAGAAGGCTATGTCTTGGGATGCTCTTGTATAAGGCTGACATGTCCCCCAAGTGAACAAGCTCTGGTTCCATGGACAACACCATTGCAATGGCGTCTCTTACTGTGTGAGCATCAAACAAATTGCCAAGACCCTCTCTCGTTCCTGGGCTCAGAAAGGCATTCCCCTTAGGAAGCCCTAGTTGTTTTTTTAAACATCTCCTACCTGACCCTGCCAACCTGGAGTGGCCAGAGCAGACTTACATGCCCACTCTCCAAAGTCTTCATCAATGTTGGGTCATTAAATTCTTCTGTGGTGAAAAAGGTCGTCTGACTACGAAGAAGAATAAAGAGTCCTTTTAGCAAAAAAAAAACAAACTTCCTGAGGACGCGGGTCTAAAGAAAACACGTGGCCCAGACCTCTGCATCGGGTCAGGAACAGCCACACTGCGGAGCCCACGGGACTGCAGGCAGCCCCTGGCTGCAGAGGAGACCCAGACCCAGTCCTAGGTGGCTCCATAAGGGGAATGAGTAGGTCAGTCGGAACAGGTGCCTGCGGTGCCCACTTAGCCTCGCTGTTGTGCAACAAGGAGGAGCCCCAGGGGTGCAGTGGGTATGCATCGGGCTGCTAACTACAAGATCAGCAGTTCGAAACCACCAGCCACTCCACGGGAGGAAGATGACACTGTCCCCTTCCATAAAGATCTGTAAGCTCGGAAGCCCCCGGGGGATGTTCTACGTGGTCCCATAGAGTGACTCTGGGTCAGAATGGACTTGATGGGTTTGAAGCGTTGGTTGGATCGTTCCAGTGTGAGGGAAAATTTATGTAAGGCTAAACTGGCGATTAACAATGGTCCACAAATGGACTGTTGGCCACCCAAACCTGTTCAAAGCTCTACCTTCCCAGGCACTGAAGTGCAAGTGGCCTGAGATCAGCTACGTGTGAGGGCATCCCAGCATTGATTCCAGAGGGACAGGAGAAGGTAGAGCAGGGCGCAGAAAGCAGAGGTGGCAGAGCAGGGCGCACAGGACAGCTGACGTGTGGTGGGAAATGTGGTCTCTGTCGCTGAACTCGGGGTCTGACGGGGGCCACGTTTGTGGTGGGAATTCCCGCCCAGAGTAGAACAAAACACTTAAAACGAAAGCAGTGGAGTGGACGCTCCGTAATCCTTCTATGGTCCCTAGGATGATGGGAGCAGCCTGGGGGCTCGGTGGTTATGCATTGGGCTGCAATCCTCAAGGTCTGCAGTTCGAAACCATCAGCAGCTCCACGGGGGACAGACAGGGCTCTCTACTCCTGTAAAGAGCTACCGTCTCAGAAACCCACGGGTGGTTCCGCCCTGCTCTGCGGGGTCATGTGAGTCAGCAGGGACTTGATGGCAGTGAGCGTGTTTGTTTGGGGGGTTGGTTTTTTGGGGAGGGGGGTTGGTATGATGACATGAAGTCGTAGGAGAAGGAAAGGGAAGAACTTCATGATGATTATGAATTTTTTGGAGACACCATTTATTGCAAAAGAAAAGAATCAGAGGAAGAAGGAAATGGGGAAAAGTAGAGGAGGAAGAGGATGAGAAGGAGGAAGAGGAGGAAGAGGAGGAGGAGGAGGAGAAGGAAGAGGAGGAGGAGGAGGAGAGATGGAGAAGTAGACCACCAGCAGCAGCCCACGTGTCTTAAGCAGTCGGATGCAGAGTAGCTTCTGTGCTACGGGGCTTCTCCCAGGGGGGAGTCTTCGGGGGGAGGGTCTTCGTAACTGTCCATCTGAAGTCTGAGCAGGAGAGTGGGGTTGCGTTGGCGAGCGCCAGCGCCCCAGGACCCAGGAGAGTTCGTGGCAGGGGGCAAAGAACAGAGGGCAGAGTCTGGAGGAGAGTTAGCTACGTACCCGAGTTTTCCTGGGGGACTGTCAGCCCGGTCAAGGCCTTCCCTGGGGGAAAATGGAGGGAACGGGTGAATGCGCCACTGTTGTGCTGAGAAATTTGCTCGGTCGGTTTTGTGATGCTGCAAGGAGTCCTTTATCATCTCTATATGGATTTGCAAAGGAGCCCTGGTGGCACTATGGGGGCTGTCATCGCACTGCTAGCCACTAGGTAGGCGCTTCAAACCCACCAGCCACTCCGCGGAAGAAAGATGAGGCTGTCTCTCCCGGAACGATTTACAAAGCCTCAGAAACCACCCCGTAGGGGGGCTGTGAGTCAGAAGTGGCTCAACAGCAGGGGGTGGGGGTGGGGGGGGTGGACATATTAAACTGAAACCAAGGGTTCCAACCCGGCCGTAATGATGATTCTGGTGCAAGACCAGGCGGTGTCTCCTTCTGTGGTGCCCAGGTTGAGTGCTGCCCCAGGCGGGTGGTTGGCACCCAGCAGCCACCACGCAGGGTTAGACTGTCCATGTCATGTGTCCCGGGGCCTCAGACTGCGCCACAGAGAACAGCGGAGGAGCAGAGAGAAGCCTGAGTTTGCAACAGCGGACCGCTCTCATTTGTCCTCATTGGGATACCGTTATAGCTCTCGACAGTCAAATAAACTTGGGAGTAAATGGACGTTCACCCCCCTCCCTGGGAGGGGGCCATAGAGAGTCCCCTACAGGACAGCCCCGGAGCACTTACCCATACAGTATGCCCGCGATGGTACACTTCTTAAACGTCATTATATTGCAAGTAAGGGTGCCTGTTTTATCGGAGAATAGATATTTTACCTAGGAAAAAGAGAATAAACGGACAGGATGAGCCGCACAGACTTAGAATGTACTTATGGGGCGAAGACTTCACCAGGACGGGGTTTTGGCTCAAAGAGACCCGTGTGACCAGTTGTACTGCTTCCAACACTGCTGGCTCGTGTTTCTCCTACAAAGTTCTAAGATGTGAGCGTGCATAGAGCAGGAAGCCAAGCCTACTATCGTTTGATTGTTGATGTTGTTGTTGTTGTGGCCAGGGTCTCTGACCCACGATGACCCATGATGACCCACGATGACCCATGATGACCCCGTGCACAGCAGAAGGAGACCCTGCCTGGGCCTGGACCCTTCTCACGCTGTTCTTAGGTTTGAGCTCATCAGGCAGCCACCGGGCCCATCCATCTCGTCGAAGGTCCTCCTCTTCCTCACCGCCCTGCGACTTGACCGAGCACCATGTCCTCCCCTGGGGCCTGGTCTCTCCTGACAACACATCCAGAGGACATGAGACGAAGTGCCCCGCTTCTTGCCTCTAAGGAGCATGCTGGCCAGAATGTTTGCTCTTTTGGTAATCCAAGGTCTCTCAGAGTGCTTCCTTAGCACCACCCTTCAAGTGCATCCATTCTTCTAATACTGACCTCCTCGGTTTATTAACGAGTGAATAAAGGCCTTTCAAAAGCTCATCTCCTCTTCTTTTTTTTTTCTCCAGCGTTAAACATATTTGGCAGAATGCACCATCACCTGTCGTCATCAAAGGTAAACGCATGCTGGTACTGACCTGGGAAGCTCTTAGGAAAGCCAGCACCAGAAAGAGAAATGTGAAAATAAATTCAGGCATATAAAAAGAATTATCCCAAAACTATAGTGACTTCTCCCTCAGAGCTGTTGGCGGGTTTGAACCGACCGGTAACAGCCCAGCACGTGGTCAAACAAGGGACCACCTAGCAGGGAAGCAACAAAGCCCACATAGAAGAAGCACACCAGCCTATGTGATCATGAGATGTCAATGGGATCAGGAATCAGGCATCAGAAGACCCCAAAAAACAAATCATATGGATGCAAATGGGGAGGGTCGGAGCGCAGATCCAAAGCTCATCTGTAGACAATTGGCCATCCCCTCACAAAAGGGTCACAAGGAAAGGATGAGCCGGCCAGGGTGCAGTATAGATAGCACCAACAAAACACACAATATTCCTCCAGTTCTTTAGTGCTTCCTCCCCCACAATATCATGACCCCATTTCTTCCTTACAAATCCAGCTAGACCAGAACAGGTATACTGGAACAAATAAGAGCTCTCGCCACATGGAATCCAGGACAGATAAACCCCTCAGGACCAATAAGGAGAGTAGTGATACTAAGAGGGTAGGGAGGAGTGGGAGGCAAAAGGGTAGAAAGGGGGAACCAATCACAATGACTGACATAAAACCACCACCCCAAGAGGGATGAGCAGCAGAAATGTGGGTGAAGGGAGAGAGTGGATGGTGTAGGATATAAAAATAATTATAATTTATCAAGGGTTCATGAGGGCGGGAGGGGAGGGAGGGCAAAAGGGCTCCCGCAGAAAGAATGTTTTGAAAATGATGATGGCAGCATATGTACAAATGTGCTGGATACAATGGATGGATGGATTGTGATAAGAGCTGTAAGAGCCCCCAATAAAGAAGCCAAGAAACAGATGCTGAAGAGGCTCGGGCCTCCCCCCAGAACTGACCGGAAAAGACAGATTTCCCCTAGAGCCAGGGTGCTCGCACAAACATCTGGCCCCCTCACCGGGAAAACATGAGTACCTGTTTGTGAAAGCCACCCACTAGCGATCCTTGCTACAGCAGCACCAGAGACCTAAGATGACAGAGACGCTGTGGAATGTTATGTAAGTCCTTATTACAATAAAAAAAGGGAAGCTTTTAAAAAAGTGTCTGCAGTCAGTCACTGATGGCAAGGACATGTTTAAATACCTTTTGCTTCCAATAAGACAGTGGTAGTTATACTATAATCATTTGTCAATTTGAGAGGATTAAGAGTGAAGGGGTGGGGTCTAGCCTGTCAATCACGTCATAGCCAATGAGGCCTCTGTGTGGGCATGGTCTTCCCCTGAGGATTCTGCGAACTCCTGTCTTCCTCCTTGGAGGTGGAAGGCATCTCTCTAGCTCAGTTCACTCCCTGGGAGACATTGCAGCTGACAAGACACATGGAACTACTCTAGTGCCCTGAGCTGGAGGAGCCACGTGGAGACCCCTGCCAGCACCGAGATGCTTACGCCACTGTATCCACAAGACTTCCAAACCACTGGCCTGTGATCTTCCTGCACTCGGCATCATTGCATGTGTTTCGTCAGTCTGAAGAGGACTTTATAGATTGGTATTGGACATATGGGCTAATATCAGACTTATGGGCTTGATCTGGACTGGGCTGGGATGTTCTCTTAATGTACAATTACGGTACTCTTTCATATAAAGCTCTTTCTCATACACATATTTGAGTGCCTATGAATTTGTTTCTCTAGTCTAGCTGGACTAACACAAAGACTATGTGTGTATCAATTGGAACTCTAGCTGCAATGCTCTTACTTACACTGGTATTGTCAGATCTGCTCTCTACACCCAAAGACACACACGTATGCATGCACACACGCACGCGCACACATGAGCACATTTAAACGAGGTGATGAGGTGAGAACTGGGGGGAGAGAAGAGAAGGTGGGGAAATCAAAGGTGCCTTTTATTTTTGGTGACACTAACAGGAAGCACGTAGGTGTCGTGAGCCAGAGCACCAAAGAAGCGAGAGAAAGATTAAGTCGTGATCTGAGACAGCCTTTATGGGGAAGACGCCGTAGTCAAGGAGCGGCATGAGCCAAACCAAACATGGGTAAATCCAAGGAGCAAAGAGAACTTGGCGAATCCTTTGTAAGGGAGCTCAGGACATTTCCTTCACAACTGGGCAGTTCTGAATCCAGGAAGAATAACACAGAACAGGGGGAATTGTAAAACCGATTTTAAGAGCTGTGGAACTGTTTGCCCCTGTTTCCGCTTTCTCAACGAGTGCTGAAAGCACGTAGGGCCCTGCCTTGTCTTCAGCGTGCAGCTCTGTCGGAGTCCCTGAGGGAGATCAACAACCCACAGGGCTGGAACGGCGTGTGCACTTGCAGAGGGGAAGCAGAGTGAGGAGATGGAACGAGAGAAGCCCGGAGGACCAAGGGCTAAGAAACCTGGGACAAACGCAGCACTAAATCCAATTACTGCCATCCGAGGAGCAAGCGGACCTAATAGTTCCATTGAAAGATGATCTTCCTCTGGAGGAGTGAGGAATGGCCGAGACGTAATGGTTACCAGGCGCGAGACTTTTAAATTGATAAATTAAATTGAAAAAAATCATCACTAAGAAAAAAAAATCATCCTGAGTAAAGTTAAAAGACAAACAGGGAGAGAAAGGAGCCCTGGTGGCAGAGTGAGTTAAGTGCTCGGCTACTGACCACATGGTTGATGGTTCAAACCCACCAGCTTCTGCTCGGAACAAAGATGCAGCTGTCTACTCCCATAAAGACTTACTGTCTCGGAAGCCGAAGGAGGCAGCTCTACCCTGTCCTGCAGGGTTGCGACGAGTCAAAATCAGCTCGATGGCAGCAGGTTTGGTTTTCTCGAACAAACAAAAAACCCTAAAGGTTGATCTCTCTCCTCAGAATTGTGCTTGGATCCACAATCGATGCTCGTGGAAGCAAGTCAAGAAATCCAATGGTGCGTTGCATTGGGTCAACCAGCAGCCTATGACCTGGTCAGTGTTGACAAGCAAGGAGGTTACTTTGAGGACTGAGGGGTGCCCAACCCAAGCCAGGGTCCCTTCTGTTGCTTCCGACACACCTGAGGGTCGGACATTGAACAAGGAAGACCGAAGAGAAGCCGCGAGTTTGAGGGAGGCTGCGGGAAAGAACCATGTGTTTGGCTCAAAGGACAAGCCAGTCTGTCTTGGGAGAAGTATGTCTGCAGCGCTCCGTAGACGCGAGGACGGGGAGAATTCATCTCACGTATGTGGACCTGGGGTCGGGAGAGAGCAGCCCTTGCAGGACATCCTGCTGGATAAAGCGGAGGGGCAGCGAGAAAGAGGATGGTCCTCGATGAGACGGATGGACGGACGGACGCCGTGGCTGCCGCCATGGGCTCAGGCACAGGACCGGTTGTGAGGAGGGTGCAGGCGTGGGCGGCTCTTCATGCTGTTCCGCACAGGGCCACAACGGCCCCCAACAGCAACTGCTATAAGCTCGGGGGAGACACCAAACCTAACACGGAAGGCGGCCAAGGGCATAAGCAGACCAGTAAGAAGATATGAAAGTGGACCTTGGACATGGGAGGAGATCATCAACTTCACCGATCAGGTTGTTGGCGGCTGCCTGCAAGTGGGCTCTCGCTGTTAAGGACAGGGTGAACAGTTGCTCAGGCCCGCACCTGGATGGCTGTTGTTTTCGAAACCATTGGTGTGGCCCTTGTATCTATCAGTCCAGCACATCGGGGGTTTCTGCTCACCTTGGCTGACCCTCAGGTTGACCAAACATCATGTCCTCCCTTAAGTGTTTGGCCTCTCTCGATGGTACGTTCACAGTCGCTAAGACAAGGTCTCTCCAGCCTGGATACTTAGGAGCCTGCCAACGGTCTTTATATTGCAAGCCAGGGTATGTTCGGTAGGCTTGCCGACACCACCACCTGAACGTGTCACTTCCTCGGTCTTCCTTTTCCGTGGCCCAGCTTTGGCAGGCGTAGAGGAGTTGGGGGAAAACCGTGGCTTGGGTCAGGCGCACCTTACCCACCCCCGTGAGGTCTTTTCTTCTTAGCAGTTGAAAGAGGTCTTCTGCCTCTGATTGTCCCCGGTACAGGATGGCTTTGGGCCTCTTGGTGGATGCTCCCGTGGGGGGTGATTATTGGGAGCCCAGTAGGGCTGGGATCGTTGACCACTTCAATGGCCTCGTCACTTATCACCATGTTGTTTGTCGCCTTGAAGCGACACTGGAGGGCCATCCCTTACTGAGGAGGGAGGCAACAGTGGAGAAACACCACCCATAGGCAGGGCTGCTGGGGAGCAACCACCCTGAGAAGACTACTGAGGGTGGGACATAGCCCCAGTCCCTCTGTGCTCGCCCTGTGACTCAGCCACCCAACTTCTGGGCGTTCAGCCTGAAGATATGCCTCCAGGGAATTGGGAACCATGTGCTACAGTGTTGCCAATATTTTGAACAAATTATACTTTGACCTCTCCACCTGGCTTCCCAAATGTCCATTCAAACGCTACCTGGTGGCTCAGTAGCGTTTGAAGAGCGCTCCCTCTTGCTAAGGTCCTCCTTCGGGGCTCCCGTGCTGGCCGCCTACCTGAAAGAGGCCCTCACCTGCCCAGCTCCCACCTACCTGAAAGAGGCCCTCACCTGCCCAGCTCCCGCCTACCTGAAAGAGGCCCTCACCTGCCCAGCTCCCGCCTACCTGAAAGA